CTCTCTCTCTCTCTCTCTCTCTCTCTCTCTCTCTCTCTCTCTCTCTCTCTCTCTCTCTCTCTCTCTCTCTCTCTCTCTCTCTCTCAACCACAAGTGCATCTAACTGATGTGTACATCCACCACTTTTGGCCTCTCCGGTTCCTTCGGCGGCAACTTAGGTACCGTGACTGTGAGGACGCCATCCTTGCACTGCGCGCCAATTTTGTCCACCTCTGCATTCTCCGGCAGCGTGAAGCGACGCATGAACTTCCCTGTGCTCCGCTCTATGCGGTGATACTTATCTCCCGGTTCTCCCGTCTTCGTCTCGCGATGGCGCTCGCCGCTGATGACCAGTGTGTTGCCATTCTCCAGCTGCACCTTGATCTCGTCCCGACCCAGTCCGGGCAAGTCGGCCACGAATTGATAGCTCATCGGGGTCTCTTTCACATCCACCGCGGTGTTGGCCATCGCATGCGACTCTCGCATGAACGCGCGGCTAGGCTCGTCTAGCAGCTTGAAGACGTCGTCGCCCAGGGAGATCATGTGCCGCATGGTGTCAGGCATTGGTCTCAAGCTCAAGTCACGAGCGAACCAGGGATAGAGCGCCATGATGGCTATTGCAGCGTGACGCGCAGGAAAAAGAGTGGTTGCTGCACAGGAAAAACAATACTGAGAGCAGAACAAGAAACTGCAGTTGAGTAAGCGAAGCTGCTGAAAGGGAGAACAACAACACAGTGAGTGTGTGTGTGTGTGTGTGTGTGTGTGTGTGAGAGAGAGAGAGAGAGAGAGAGAGAGAGAGAGAGAGAGGTTATGCTACAATCGTTGGAGGCGAAGCGGAGAGGTAGAGGATTGGGTTCGACAGAAGAGCGAGAGGGGAAAGCGAAGATAGTAAGTAAGGGAGAACAGCGACAGAGAGCGAGAGAGAGGAAAGAATGAGAGTAGATGATGTTAAGCTAAGATTGCTGTCAGGCGAAGCGCAGATGGAGATGGAGGGCTTACAATAGGAGAGCGAGACAAACGACTGAGAGTGGAAAGCGAAGACGCTAAGTCCTGTAAAGGAAATGAATGGCTGTGCTCTTGCTTTCTGAGGCCATCGAGCGAGCGCGAGCGAGCTAGATGATGAGGCAAAGTTGGAATCACCTGACACGGATAAGCAGTGAGCTGGATACTAACGTCGCAGCACGGTCGCACATGCGTCTCACCTTCGCTTTCCTGGTAGTTAAACTGAAATCTGCGGAGCCAAACGACAGCATGAAGCTACGTCAGCCAGTGCAGCTATGGCAACCAAGCTACACCACGCCGCTATTGTAGCGAATGCAGCTATGGCAGTGATGGCGATGTGGTCAGAGGTATGAGTACCAGTCAAGCAGAGAGCGCGCGCATGGATCGTGAAACGCTGAGGCAGATTTTCACCGGAAGAAGTTCTCAGACGGTTGGTTTCATCACTGGTAAGCAGTTTCTTACGGAGAGTGATCAGGTATTTATATACGTGTACCAGAGCTCTCCTTGAACCGTGCTGGGCATTCTGAGTTTGTGGAGCGAATCTTGGAGCGAATCAGGCCGTTTTTCAGGTCAGGTACCTCGTGGAGAAAACGGACGTAAGCCTTGATCCTGCCGAGCGCGGATTGGGTCCGGCTCGGGCGAATGTTCGCTGGCCAACCTCTAAGCGTCAGATCCCACTACCCTGGATTATTGAATTTTCACCCTCGATTACGAAGATCGACGGTCAGAATGAACAATAGGGGCTAGTGTGATCTGGCCCTAACTGCAGACAGCGGGCGTACGACCGCCGGTGCGTCCGAGTCGGGCGAAAGTTCGCTGGGCAACTTCTGGAAAACTCCAGATCTTGGGCGCCGACTGAAAACCATATGCGAACGACCGCTGGTGGCAACTTCCAGAAGCCTCCGTACCGGCGGTTTGCGACTCTACCGTAGGGGCCTCGCTGCACTACTCTGGACATGCACAACGGACAAAAATCATGGCGGTGCATCTTTCCATATTCTAGCGGAAGATTCACTCTCGTTTTGCACATTTCGAGGGTAGTGCAGCGAGGCCCTAGATGACTGGTCGCGACAGATGGTCGGTGGCTTCCAGAGCCGTCTTCTTGTCTGATGACGATCGGCGGGGTCTAGAACTCGCAACCGCCTTGACTTCGCGGAGGTGAAAGGCCGGCCCCTAGTGGTTGCCGATTATCGGACTTCCAGATGCCTCGGGACGCAGCAGCTGAAGAACCAATACACCCGGCTAAAGCAACCAAAGGCTAGCACCCTGCTAAAATGTCAGAAAAAAAACGGGCCCTTCTATTCGCAGCCTGTCAGGGGTGCGTTATATACCCCTGAGTCCATTTCGTCGTTCAGGTCCAAGGAGTAGTTGGAAGGGTGGTGAATTTGCTGGGGGGCGAATTCATGGGGAACGGGCACTTGTTTGCAGCCAGGAGGCTGCGCTTGTGTGGGTACTATTTTGGTCGTTTCATTTCTTTCTATTTTCGGTAAGGTTGTGCAGTACAGCTTCGCTAGGATGGGTTCGTTTGGGGTCTCCAACAGCAAAAAATAGGGTCCGGTCGCAGTCGTCGCTAAGATCGGTCGTAGGGCAGGTTATCTTGTCAAGGTCGCTGCAATTTAGTATAGGGCGCCATCCATTGTTTCCCTTTTGAGGGATAAAGTTTTTCCCCGTTGCGAACTGGGGGGGGGTGATATGGGTCTGGGCGATTTGGGTCTGGGTGGTTTCGGCTTTTGTTTTTTTTCTCTTCTATTGCATCTTCCCAGAAATACAGTATGCCCAAGTAACGAAATCTCAAAGGGACTGCCCTCGTTGGCAGGGCTTACTAAGAAACGAAATGGGAAAAAAAAACATATCGACTTTCGAAAAAAAGAAGAAGATAAAACGTACTTACCCTCACCACGAGAGCTGTGAAGATAGAGGGCCTCGCTCCACTACTGACCAAATGTGCAACATGAGCATGAATCTCGTCGTAGAACACAGGTAAATACACTGCTCATAGTTCAGAGCTTGAAATGCCCTTTTTCCTGGCCGTGCGTGGGGTGGTACAGCCCTCGGTAGCTTGCTATTCATTTTTCAGTTTTTTTTTGTTTTTTTCTGTGATCGAAGAATCTGGGCTCGATCCAGCGGCCTGGTTCAATTGGTTAGGCACGCAAGTGGCATTCAGGAGATTGTGGGTTCAATCCCCATGACAACCTGTGCCACTCTTGGTGCCAACCAACCGAGATAGTCAGTTGGATCTTCCCTGTCGGTATCAGTAAGGTCTTCAGCCAACACAGGTGTGAGTGCGCATGTGAGTGGGTTGCGTGTGGTGTGTGGGAGAGTGTTGGCTTTGGACACTACCATCCAGAAGGCTGCCCATCCCCCACTTCATAAGACCTTTGCCAAGCTTACTGTCTAGAACATAAAACATGCTACCCGAATGGCTGCGTCCCTGCCTTTGACGCGGTATAACAGTTGCTTGGAGGCCGAAGAGGCTGTGATCCTTGAGCTCAACATTTCGAAATCGAAACAGCATGGGTCCACTTTTCTCGAATAGAAGGGTGCCTCGAATAACCCCCTTATGTGTTGTATTTGAAACAACACATACCTTTTGTATTCAAATTTGGAAGAAAAAACACTTGTATTTGAAAAAATGGATAATTTGCAAAATACCCTCATAAGTTGAAATAGGTGTCAAAATGCCCCAAAAACATGTGGGCAAAGCGGAATGCCCCTCTGACAAAAAGAGAAATTTGTGAAATACCCCTCGCGTCAGTTGGACCCCCCATCTTTGTGATATACCCCTACTGGTATCATCCAACTTTGCAAAATACCCAGAACTTGACAACTTTCTTGAGGCCCAGTTGCAAAAGGTCATGCCAAACGGCATGGTCCAAATTACAAATTCGTACACCCGCCAAACACGGGCATAACATTGCCTTTTTCCTCTTTTTTTTTAGTACCTCTGCCAATGTTGGGAAATTACAACTTTTAGCCTGTACCCGAAAAATTTGAGGGTGGGACCTGGGGTCGGCAAGTCTCAAAAACAAAAAAAGTTTTTTTGTATCGCAATGATGTCGGGCAGGGTAGTCTATGACGCCGTGCTCACAGTCTTCCTCTAAAGAATGCATCTTACAGCAAAGACGATCACATTTTGAAACTCGTTGTTGTTTTTTTTTTTTTTCTCGTTCGTTTGTTATGAGTCTCTTGCCAACAAGGCAGGGCGAAATCCGTGACCTGCTCTGGTTGTGTTTCCTCAGTGGATCGTAACATTGATCACACTGACACTTAGAGGAATGTATCCTACCATTTTCATGGCCGAATTCGTGTTTTCGTTTGTTTTTTTATTTTCTTCTGTTACTGAAATCTGACAATCGGAATCCGTGATCTGCTCGGATTGAGTTTCCTCAGAGGATTGTAGCCCACATCACACTGGCACTTAGAGGAATGTATCCAGCCATTTTCACGACCGAATCCATGTTTTTGTTTTCTTTTCCTCGTTTTGTGTTTCTGGAATATGACAACCTGGTCATGGAGTTGAAATGCCCTCACTAAGGGCACCCTCACACTACCACATCCAAGCATGTATACTACTGCAATCACGATCAGAGCTTTGTTTTTTTTTTTTTCTTCTTCTTGTTTGAAGAGTTTCACGGCCGTAACTTTTTTTTTTTTTTTAACTCTTCCCGTGAGAGTACCATAAATAAAATAGACTGGGACCCAGGCTCGGCAAAACTCGAAGCGCGGTGAAATTGAGGGTCGACAAAAACAGACTCTAAGGTACATGTCGGTCACTGGCATCTAGTGGCCTACTCCTGAAAAAGAGCCGCCACACCACCGTCAATATTTTTCATCGACTACGACTAGTAGCCGAATTTGGATTTGAGGTCCTCGGCCTCGCATATGAAAAAGATAGTGGTGGTTTAACGTCTGCCCTTGTGTTCGCCTCCACCGACGTGCTCCATGCTGCAGTGCTCTCTCTCTCTCTCTCTCTCTCTCTCTCTCTCTCTCATACACATGCACACACATACACACACACACACACACACACACACACACACACACACACTTCCTTTCACATTCACATGTGCACACATGAAGTCACACATACTCATTTTCATAGTTTTTCCCACAAAGTTCCACTTCAGCCCACTAGAGGGGTGATATGAGTGAGCATCCCTCTATAGAGGACTTAAGACAAAATGCTCACGTCTATTAATTGGGAACGACATCTGCTTGAAAACGGGTTCAACATTCCATGCACATTGTGAATGAAGCATCAGCTGCGACCCTACACAAACCCGTAAGAGGCAAAAGTTTCAATGGGACCCTAAGGCAAAAGTTGTTCAATTTATTTTTCTTCATAACATAGGTGTTTTTTCAATTTTTTTTATTTTGTTGTTTTTTGCTAGGAACTTCTCTGGTCGTTGTACGGTCTAGCCATCTCAGACGGCTTAACTGGTAGCCTAGATAATAACATAATTAAAAAAAAAAACTGTCTGTGTTTCGCGTGACCTTGGTTGTCTGCACACCCCGTTGAGGGTATTATTTGGTAGTTAAAAAAAAAAAAAAAAAAGATTACAACTCGGCGTAAGAACCACGGACGGTGGGGAAAAAATAAAAATAAAAAAATTCCACAGTTCCAGATTGCCACCCACCCGATAGTGTTCGGGGTGGTGGTCCAGTAAAGCACCACGCCCACTCGTCATCACTCATTACGGCCATTAACATCACTAATGGTTCACGAGGACTCCCATTTTCACGTCCTAGCCAACAGACCCGAAACTGAAATTATATTTTAACCGTCAAATTTTATGTTTGTTTTTTTTTTTTTTCGCCTTTTTTTGTTTTGGGTCAAGGTTTAGGTGTACCAATATTGGTGTCATTGGGAGCATTGGAATTTCCTCTACTGAGATTCCTGAAATTTCTCAATATTTTTGAAATTGAATGTTGGCGAAATTTATATGAAAGTGCATTTTTGTCTCTCTATTTTATAGTTATATAAAAAAAAATAATTATTTAGTTAGTATGGTCTCCACTCTATGAACTACTGGCAACTTTGGGTTGACTCTTGGGTTTTGTTATAAATGGCATGACAAGCTAGGCTACCAGAGCGGCCCGCAACTTGCCCGGCCGGGCCAAAAATAAATAAAAAATAAAAAATTATTTTTAACTCTATTTTATATTTTAAATTTGGTAAAGAATTTTGATGTGACCCTGAGCCAAAAGTTGTTCAATTTATTTTTCTGCATAACATAGTTTGTTTTCGTTTATTTTTTATTTTTTAT